TTGTAGATAATTGCTTGCTTTGCACTACACCAAAATATTACGTTTGATCATTGTTTGATCTATTGCTGCTTGAATCCTTCCTTGCAGCAGTTCCTTGTTTGTTTGTCACGCAATGCTGTCATCCCATTTTAGGGGGTAGGGTTAGGACAATTTCTATCCTAATACGTAAGGTTCTGTAAGGCTTGGAATCACAGGGAGCACACAATCTTGTTGAGTAGGAAGAGATTAAATTAAGCAATAAAAAGAATGAATAGTTAACCATTGCCCGTGCTGTCATCTTTTACTAGACCACGGCTACCTACATGCCTTGCGTAATACTGTAACGCTAAACTCGTACCTAGGTCTTTTCCCACTATGCAATTATTTTTGGTTTACATATAATACAGTGGGCCACCCTCGGGGAAATGGGAGGTGACCGCTTTAATAGGGGTTGGCCGCTTAACAGAGGTTGGTGTACTTTATACTTTGAATATACTTTGAATATTTGAATACTTTAAATTATCAGCGCTGTGTCTATTTCAACTTAATATAGCTCAAGACATGTGGCGCATGCTAAAATATATGTCTAACCCGTAAATTGAAATTTTACGACGGATNTGAATACTTGAAATTATCAGCGCTGTGTCTATTTCAACTTAATATAGCTCAAGACATGTGGCGCATGCTAAAATATATGTCTAACCCGTAAATTGAAATTTTACGACGGATTGTCAAATATCTGCATTTTTAACATACTTTGAAAAGCTCTCGCATCGCTCACAGTCATTTGCCCAAAGAAATTTTTACAGGAATCTGTAGACAATCCTTCTGCAATTCAACCACCAGAAGCTTGATCCATTTGAAGGTTTTGCACGTGGTGAAAATCAATTATTTTCACGAAGTAATTTTAAGTAAATGAAATACATGTCTTCAAAATTTAATTATTTTGCACCCAACAAAACCACAACATTCCCTAAAATCAACCCAGTACACAATTAAACATTGCACAAAAATATTTGAGTATTTTAAAGACAGAAAAATGATTTGGTTTTGCATGCGAGGCTCTCAAACTTGTTTAATAAAATGGTGCATCAAATGACGATTTTAACGGAATTTGGTAATTTGCATATTTCTTTGAAATAAAAGGATATTTTGCCAAAAAAACTATCCAGTAGTTTTTGTCATGCCCTAGCCTATCTACCGTAAAAATATGAGCGAAATCGAATTTTCGACCCTTGCCGAGTTATTTTCCATATTTATGGACAGGGACTCTTAATAACAACAATTTTACAAGAAGCAACAGCACAGTGACCCTGGTTATTCAAAAACGATATACAATCTAGAGAAATAACTTACAGTTGAAGGATACGATATCCTTAACTCATAACTTCTGCTTGGCTGCAGTTGAACCAAATGGTACACTACTGTCTTTCTGTGGTACAGAACCTGGTGATGTAGTATACAATCACAGACATTTTTGCTAAGCCTTAAATCTCAAGAAGCTCGAAGTAGTTTAGACATAAAGTTTTAAGTAGAGCTTCTTTAAGCCTGGCTGGCTCATGGCTCTCGGCACTTAAATCCGGTTTCTGTAGCATGTTAATAGTTTCATATCACAGAAATGTCGAGTTAACACTAGCGAGTGAACCAGATGTTCCCTGTATAAGGGAAAGTAAGAGAGTTTACCTGATTAACTAGCGGTTTCCCCGGCTCCAGTCTGCGGAACACAACCAAAATGAAAAGTGATGAGGCAATTGAATCAGTTGAAAAAACAGATCATTCTTTTACCTCACAAATCCAGATATGTTCGCTACAGACATGTTTAAAATAAACGTTAAGAACACAACAGTAGTGTCAAGACGCGATTTGTCCGCCATCTTTTTGGTGTTGGCATATACCACGTGTTCCGGTATAAACGGGTTAGCCGCTGACTTTACGGGCAGGGTATTCATCTCCCTCGAGCGAAGCGAGAAAAAGGAGGTGTCTTCGACAGTCGCGAAAAGTCCAACGGCGAAACCAACAGGCCTGGGGAGAATTATCGTAAAGGACTTTTAGAACGTCTAGAAGTCTTTGGGTGAAATAAATAACCTCTATTTGGCGCGAAAATATGCTCGGATACTATGCGCCGGTACGCGGAAATTATTTGTTCCGAGAAGAGAACAGTTTTCCAACAGATGGCTAGATGACGTATAGCAGCCTCGTATCCCTGGTAGCTTGTTCTTTGGTAACCACCTTTACAAAGACTATGGATTTGACGATTGCTTCGCCTGAAGCAAACTCGGAGTAACAAATGTTTTTGAACTAGTCCGACTCCACAAACCTTTCAATCTTGTACTAACATGGCTTTTTATCCAGCTGAAGAAAGCCAAACGGCCAAAACCTCATTAAACTAGTCGGACGTGACTTATTGGGCTTAAGTTCGTGATCTCTTCCAATTTCTCAAGTATACATATCTTCTGATCTAACAAGAGATTATTTTGCTAAAACATAGTACAATGCAAAGCAGACTTCAGTTTCACATGATGACAATCACAAAGGAAACAAATTGGTAGGTCGCCCCACGGGAGAGCTTGATTGCTCAGGTCAAGATGGCGGTTAAAAACTTGTTGTTTACTGCGGAACCACTCGCCTGTGGCTCGTGGTTCCGCAGCCACTTTGACAATGTTATGACGCAATTTATCATCAGTAAGAGGACAGACGCGTAAAAAACTGAAGTCAATTTGTTAATACGAGAAAATAGAGGGCTGTGAACAGTCTAGGGTACATTCAGTTACGCGACGCGTTTAGACCAATCGCGTGCGAGCAAAAATATCATGAGAAATATTCGTAACCGTAACCTGTGTTTTCCTTGCTGTTTCCTTGCAGTTCAAACAAAACTCAGTTCTATGCCAGAGAAAATTCGGTGTATTGATTTCCCACTTGAAAAATGTATTCCGTATCGCTAAAAGCAATTAACTGGCAATTTCCCAAAATGGCAGATGCTGGTAACATCGAAGCGTCTGAATCTTCTTCTAAAATGAGAGGTACTTAGAGATATTTAGAAAAATATGTTTGTGATATTTTTGAGTAGGCTCGGTTCAGACGTCGTGCATCTACCGTGCCGAACTGAATCTAGGCATTAAGTTCGACAATCAAACTTTTGAATTAATTTCGGCAAACAATTAAGTTCGACAAGCTCTGCCGTGCTACACGACTCTCGCAGGGCAACGGTTCAAACGCAGTGCTCCTGCCGCGCTAAATAAAATTCATAAACTATATTAATGTATTTTGGGGAGATTGTGCTCCCGCGGGGAGTTAGTAGGACAATTGTTACGAGGCTTCAGTAAATCCTGAATTTGGTTGACTCCGGCAT